ATCAACTCCCGCCCAGACCAACCAAGCTTTTTACCTTCCGGGGACTGTAAAGTGGTAGCACTCGTCTGGGAGAATAAGAACACTGGCTTGTTCTCGGCTGTCCCCCGAGGTCATCGTATAAGCCACATTGCATTCAGTAAGTCACTGCGATTCAGAATGGTGATAAAATGCATGTCGCATACCAAAAAAGATTGATAATCTCGTTGTAATTGAAATGAGTTTCTTTTTTATTCTCGCTTATTAAGTATTCCTCGTTTTTGAATAAGAGTTCAGTGTTCCGGGAAAACGGAAAGCTGGCCTTTGCTTCGAAAATGGGAGATCAAAGGATTAGAAAGAGTCTGAGGAAATTTTAGTAACATACCTTATACATCACGTCATTGTCATTTCTAACGGAATTATACTTCTTAATCGTCAACTTCTGGAAGAATCACAATTCTAAATCAAGGTAAAAGGCGTTTTATTCACTCTCGAACTCCTCCAACCCTTTTGTGGAAGAACTTGGAAATTGTCTTATGGTGACAAATTGTTACTTCCAAAAAGTTTTGATATGAATTCGTTTGTATAGATTTTTTTTCTATTTCGAGTATTGGAAGTTGGAGACTCTAGGTTCCAGTAACATTTCAACAACCCACTAGTCCACTAGCACTCAGTCAGCAGTATGGTACTGTTCGGATAAACTCAAAAGCGTTTGTCGTAGATCAGTCCTTTTCTTTGTATGCCCACTTTTGAATTCCTTTGTTAGGATTTCAGTGCGTATTTGAACTGTGCAAAGTTTGGAGAAAATTGCCCTCCTCTTTGTTTTTAATTTTTACAAGGCTCTTATCATTTATCCCACTCGGGAGGCTTAGTTGTTAGTACCGGTTTTTTCCCCTGTATCACTTCTATCCCAACGGCTCATGAAAAAAATTCATTCAAAGAGAAATGAAGCTTTTCTAGATGGCCGAAGAAAACCTAATAGAAAAACCAAGGTCAAAAGGCTGTACACACCCAAAAGGAAAAAGAAAAAAGGTAAGATACTGCACAAGAGAAACACTAAAATTCTTTGAACGATATGATAGTGATCCTTACCTTTTTCTTTAGCCGTCCCTGCTTCTGTAATTCCTGTAATTAGGCCAGAGACGGCTTGCTACTGTGGTGTAGTCGTATGCAGTCATGCAAGACTTCACGAGCATATACTCTACGAGGTAGTCATTATTTGCGCTCATCCACATTCCTTATTTTACACAATGTGCTGTTAATTTGGCTCTTCAGCATTCATATCCCACAATCATTCGATGCTCTCAGTGCGGTGCTTCGGCTGAACGCGTTCACGAACACCATATTTGCAGGTAAATCGCTTGTTTGATTGTATTTGGAGTCAACGTCTCGAGATTCTGCCATCTGTCCTTCTCTTATTACTCGCTTCGCGTACCTATTTATTCACAACATGTGTTTGGATGGCCGCAAATGACCTTCTCGTACAAATTCTGCCAACCACATTTTTCTTTATTGAGAAGTGGTAGAGAAATAACCACTTTCGTCTCTTTTTTTAAGTCCCTTCCTCATAATTAACAAGTTTATGGCAATTGCGTTTATTTAGGAAAAAAGTGTAACAAAAGGATTTTCCTTTTTTCCCTGGGACTTTCCTTATAGAGGTTACACGGTGCTTTTTTGTGTTGTTTTTTTCAGTGATGGACGGTGCCAAATTTTTTGAATGAGAATTTTAAAAACAAGTAGCAACAAGCAAAGAAGTAGTGCCAAAAATTTGGAGATTCTGCTGCTTCAAATTCCGTAGCAGGCCCACAAGTGTGCGCGACCGATGCTTTGCTCATATTGATGTTAATTTCGATTTTGATATTTTGAGTCTTTTGACATTTGTCCTCTAGTAAGAAGCGGAATGAAAACATGAACAAGCCAAAGTCGCGGATTTTCTATTGTTCTGCCGATGTTTTGGATTTTTCCCCGAGTGCTTAGTTTTCTTGAATTCGATAACCCAACAGAGGTGCGCACAAGAGGAGTCTCCGCTACTTTGCCGGTCGGTGGGAAACTTCGCTCCAAAAAAAACTTTGGGGCGGAGCTTTCGGAGATGATGAACTACCACTTCTTGGGATCCGGCACGCATTACACTTCCATTTAGGATGTTAGTGGGTTAAGATTGCGATATTGCCATATAGTAGTTTGTGGGAGCAAGTCGATGTACAAGTTAGTGTATTTATCCACTCAGACAAGTCTAGTGGATGGTAGGTAGCGCCACTTGTCTCTACACCACCTTTTCTCTGTCAAACGATTGATGTTATTAGTCACCACTACTTTATTTCATTGAACACTATTGGTTTAGGGAGAATAAGCATGTAACAACGGTCGAAAACGTGTCCTGTTCATATCTTTTTCCAAGTTTTTTTTGGCTACTGTACATGTGAAGTTTCATGTTATTTTCTTTATGTGTGTTCTTTTTCGCCTTGCTCACAAGCATTCATTATGCTTTCAGCATTTGTGATGTATTCGCGGATAATCTTGAGGAGCATCTCAAGAACCATTACCGTGACCGCTTGGGTTCAGGAGCTTTCATGGAATGCCGGTTGTGTTGCAAAACCTTCTTAAGTATGTATCCGAGTATTTACAGTATTTCGCTACTCATCTGCTCAACTTAATTTTTTTAGCTGTCAAAGAAGTCGTAATACACGAACGTGTGTCCCATGCAAGGGTGCGAAAGCTTTCCTCGTATGAGTGCGAGTACTGTGGAGATTGTTTCGCAACTAAGCATGTGAGTGCAACTTGTTGCTCAATAGCTTTTCGAACATTCCTTTGAGGATTTCACATGTAATTGAAGGTGCGCGATAATCATCTCCTGAGGCACTTTGAAGAAAGTATTGGTGATATCTGGGATCGCGTGGAGCAAATGCAATGTGAACTAACAGGTATTCTTTTCTCAATGATTGGATATGCTCCCGAAGTTTCTGTTCGACGGTTTATATATTTGTGCACCTTGTTGTAACCTTTACTGCACGATAAGTTTAAAGGTAGATTTTTCCTGGGCAGGTCCGCACAACTCTTCAGTGAAACTATACATTCACCCTTAGGCTGCGTTTATACTTTGCGGCAGCGTACGCTAGCGTTTCCAGCGTTCGGCAGCGGCAGTGGCAAGGGAAGGATGGATATCGATCTAGCGTCACCAGCGTACGCTAGCGTAACGCTAGAGTACTCTAGCGTTACGCTGGCGTACGCTAGCGTAGCGAGGGCAAGGAAAGCATAGGTATCGATTTAGCGTTTTCAGGTATATATGTATATGTAATATATAGGGTTTGGGTTTACATAGGGTTTGGGTTTTCTCTAAAGGGTTTGGCGATCTAGGCTCCGCCCCCTTGACCACGCCCACTTGCTTTTTGCGGAATTTTGATATTTTTTCAAAATTTTTGCATTTTTGGACTGCTACGTGAAGCCCCGCCCACTGTGAGAGGCTCCGCCCACTTTGAAGAAGCCCCGCCCACTTTTCGCAAATCGGCAGTATAGGGTCTCGGCTGGCATGCTAGGGTATTGCTGATCATTCGGAACAAACTTTGCCTGATTTTCTTGTTCCGAGTGACGACGAGACCCTAGCATGCAAGCCAAGACTCTATACTGCCGATTGCACCATTTTTGAAAAGTGGGCGGGGCTTCTTCAAAGTGGGCGGAGCCTCTCACAGCAGGGCGGAGCTTCACCACTGCCGCCACCGAACGGTGGAAGCCCTAGCGTACGCTGCCGCAAAGTATAAACGCAGCCTTATGGATCCTGGTACTTGTCATGTGCGAGATGAATGGGTCCGCAGCTGCAATATCGTGCCACTTTCTCCGCTCAGTGCTTAGGAGCGGAGCTGAAGTATGGTGATCCTGGGTTCTGTCTCACGAGTCCGCACTACTCTACAGCCATGTTACCGCGTTACCTACCCTACAGCCACGTTACCGTGCCCTTTTGAACGGAGAAAATGACACGCTGCTGCAGCTGCTCACCTACTCACCTCACACATGGCAAGGACCGTCATCGAAGATGAGTGTACAGCTTGTCATCGGCTGTAGAAGTCTCGCTACTCGACGGTTCTTGGCAGTGATATCACTGATGATAATTCGTTGTTCCTTATGTTTCAACCCACCATTCGACGCGATATGCACGCCACAACCACGCCATACGACCAGTCACACGCCTAATCATGTACGCCCTGCTTCATATCTGCTCTTGACACTGAAGTGTTCATTTAATGAGTAGGGGTGGATGGAGTGAAATGTTGCTTCTGCAATCAACCATAAGAGCGAGCAAGTACATAGCAATTCAAACAACTGTCCACAGCAGTGGTCCAATGTTTCTTTTCTTTTCTCATTTATTTCTTTCGGCTCTGTTCTAAAATATTAACTGCCATAATTATAAGGTTTCAGGTGTGGTAGTGATAAATCAGTGCCCAATATGTTCGTCAGTCCTGGCAACTAGAAGAAGTTTTCGGGTGCACGTTGTACAGAAGCATCTGCTGAAGGATCCAGAAGTGTTTTTAGGTCAATTTTTTTTCATTGTCAAGTCGACGTTTTCACTGGATTCCTAGTATTATTCTCCAGATTTGTAGATTGATTTTCTTGTGCGGGGGAATGTCCTCGTCAGGGCACATCATTGGTGGGCGATTTTAGTCGAGTCCGTACGACCTCCCCCTTTTTTGTGGGTTGCTGGGGTGGTCAACCCTTCCCCTGTCCCCTGTCCCCCCTCATCGAATCGAGTGGG